TAAAAGCCTTGGTTAGCATTAGATATCTCTGTCTCTACGCAAGTGAGGCTGAGGTGAGCATGCTACCATGAAATGTGTCTGACTCCATTATTTCAATCTCTCTTCTATCTCTCATGCTCTCTATGACTTTACTATAATCTTTACTTATGATCGCTGTACAATTGCACCTACTGGACCCGTGATGATGTGTTAGGGGCTGGCCTTTCCCCTGACACTTCAATCTCAAATCACCAGCTATCTCTCTGGTTTTCTCAGTCGATGTCCTACAGATATCGTAAACTCTGCATGATAGCATGATCATTTGTCACCAAACACAAAGAAATCAACCTCAAAAATTCTAAGTAACTCAGCAACTTCCCTTTTACCCACTCCATGGACCCATAAGTAGATGATAATTCTTGTCAATTTCATCTTCTAAAATGTTCTCAAAACTGGCCTCTCAAAGAATCAACCATAGAAGAGCGAATATCCTTTGCCTCACAATAAAGCTCAGAGGCAGAAAGGGGTAAGAAAGAACGCAATTGCCTTGTGGAATTTGCCATCAATGTCGCGCACACACACGTTTATGAATTGTTGAATGAAACAATAATTTGCTCTATGAATTTTTACCCAGCTCACAGTAAACTCAACCACAAAATATCTTGAACTCTTCCCTCCATTCTTTCTCGTTCTACGTTCATTTCTGGCCATCATCATTTGGAACTAACCTTCTACTTTCTCACTTGTGCTGAAATACCCTGCCATCATTACTACTGATACTAAAATTATCTTTGCAAAAGCCAAACTTGATTTATTTCTTCCCTCATTAAAACCTACCACAAATTCTGTAACTATAAAGCTTTATCCCTGTGTTAGATGGGTTGACTAGAGAAACAAACTCAGACATATTGTATAAGAAAGAGCTTTATATCAAAGAGCAACTGTATATTGAGAAAACAACTCAGCCCAGTCCAGATCAAGACCATAATTCTGATATTAGCCCTCAAGTCCCATACTAGCCCATGAATTTCTCTTCAGACGCATCTCAGCACTGGCATGGCACTCCATGTGGCTCCTCCAGCTCTAAGGCCCTGGCTGCCATCATCTTGGCTCCATGTGGCTTGTCAGGCCAGTGAAAGCGGAGAGAGTGTGTCCTACCTCCAGTGAGGAAGAGAGGAAAAGTCCCAGAATCCTTATGAGAAGGCCATGCCCACAAGGAGGCATCAATCAGGGTGTGACCTGATTGACAGGCTAGACTCCAGCCCTACAACCTATTTATCAAGTTGCCATGAAATTATGTAGCTACCACAACCCTGCATTGCATTAGGAACCTGTACATATCTTCCCCGTATTTTCTCTATCTTTCAAGAAGTCTTGGTGGTGCAGTGCTTAAAGCACCGATGAAAGGTCAGTGGTTCTAACTCAATCGCAGAAAGATGTGGTTGAATGTTTCTGTAAAGATGTACAGAACCAGAAGCACTATGAGACCATTCTAGTCTGTTCTATGAAGTTGCTATGAATCCAAATCAACTCGGCGGTAGAGGGATGTGACTTGCCTTCAAGACCACGCTAATTACACAGAATTGCTTTTACCGTCCAAACGCAAGAAGCTTCCATCATGTTCTTTAGGTCTTTCTCAGTCTAAGATACTCTCCTCTCCTCTTTCCAGCTGAAACACACCGAGACCTTTTAACACTAGTTCAACTACTACTTCCTCTGGAAAGCCTGCCCATCTCCTCCAAGCAATATTGTCCAGTCTTTCCACAGAGCTCTGTGCCTAGTGTGCACTTACTGGAAGAAAGGACCGCAGCCATGCTGGATTCATTTAGACATCTGGAGACTATGCATCAAGTTGTCTGCCTCCCTCACTCGAGTGAACAAACAGCTAAACCTAGAAGAGAGGGGCCCTGTGCTCTTCATTTTATGTCGCCTTATACCTAGCCCAATGACCACCACATATCTTGGTTGGAGGAATGAATAACTCCACGAATAAATAATGACTAAAAAGGGATTTTTTTCCCATTCATTACAAGAATGTTAGCACATAACATGCATCTTGGTAAAATAGTTCAGAAAATAAAAATTGAGGAAGGAAATGATTGTCAGGAGAAATCAAGAAAAATCTCTGGTTTGCACAGAAGATGAAGTTGACATTTAGACAGAGAATTGCAGGCCATCAAATAAGGGAAGAGTCCAGTGGGTCAAGGGATGTCAGAATCCAGTGATATCGCTGCAATGTCACTCCACAAGTCCAAAGAAGTCTAATCATGTTATCATCACAATAAGCACAGGACTACACAGAGTTGCCAAAGAAAATACTGCAAACAAAACAAAACTTACACTTAGCCAGTGAGGTGTTCGATCAAAAAATTTTCCAGAGTATATGGGTCTGGTGTGATGTGCAGGTTCCACTTCAGGTTCTATGTTTTCGGCTTCCTCCTTTTTCACTTCAGGTTGTTGTGCAAACTGGCATTCAAGGGGTTCTGTCACTAAGCACATTTGGGGAGGCGGCTCCTCTGATTGGGGGAGCCCGATGTCCAGCTCCACTGGATTTGTCATCTCTGTGCTGGGTTGCACCATAAGACAGGTGGGGTCTTTCTCCAGGTCCTGTCTAGGTTCCAGGCCCAAAGCAGGCTGCTTTCCCAAAGAAGCTTCTATCCCATCAGGATCCCTGGCCACAGGCCCTCTCCTGTGCTCTAAAGCCTGTGGATGTCCACACTCCAGGCCCAGGGGCTGCTGTTTTACCCACCCCTGGGAAGACCCTGCCAGAAGACACTCCTTTTCCAAGCCCATCCTTCCTGACGGCATTCCCAGAGAAGGGTTTGCTTCCTTGTTCACTTCTAAATTACCCCACTCAGTGGGAGTCTTCAACTCCGACCCCAAAACATGCGGGTTGCTTAATCCCATGTCAAGCCCTTTGCTCAAAGGAAAGGCTGTGTCTCCTGGCCCCATCGTCTCCTCATTATTATTAACCATGGGGCGCTCTCTCCATCGGGAATCTTCTTTTCCAAATTCTACTCCACGCCTAAACTCCGTGGTAGATTTCGTACCCATTAGCACTTGTGAGTCATCCTTTTCTGGATCCGTGAGTGCAACCCCGGTGCTAAGAGATTGCCCCTCAGACACCTCGCCTGCACAGGCCTTCGTTTCTAACGGGAAAGCTTCACCTGGCTCCGGGGAAGTTCCCGATTCTCTGGAAAGCCCCATTCCCTTAGGGGAACCTACTCTCGGAAAAGAACACATCCCCACCCGGCCCCGGCCCGCGGCTGCTTAACACCTAGGGGAATTACAGGAAAAGGACGCGGAGGACTGTTTACCCGGTTACCTAGGAAACGGGGGCGGGGCTTAACGCGCTATCAGCTTGGCGGGATCTCTTGCCCCCACCCCATCCTCACACCCTGTCCCTTCCTAGTACTATAGGAGTTTGATCCATCCTTCACTCCAGGGATTTACCCAGTCAACCTCAGAATGGGCTTCTCCTCTTCCTTTCCGGGTTTAGGATGAGACTGAGTGGGAGCATTTTCTTGAGGTTCGTGGGCCAGATGCTATCTTTTCAGAGCCAGAAATGGACCAGTTTGGGGCAAGAAAAGTTGAATAATCTAACGCTGGACAAGAGACCATCGGCTTTTCTTTGATTTCCTAAGCAACGCAGTCCCCTTAGGATGGCATCCCATACTGGCTTCGTCCTGTTCACTGGCATCTTCGTTTTGCTGGTCACCGGGAAATACTCACACTTTTCCTGGTGGTTACCACTTTCAGGTCTTCCCTTAAGTGCAAGCATATCCTAAGTACATTAGTTATTTAAACACTAAAGCACTACTTTCAATTCCAGAAAGTTATCACTTGGCAGTTGTGCTCTAGAAGCAACAACGTTCTTGAGAACACTTCAAATGTAATACCTAGACTTTTAAAAATATATTAATTAAGCATTGTGATCACATTGTGCAATAACATAATCATGCAGAGTGGTGGTGGTGTTTTGGTTTTTAATACCATGATAGGCTTAAAACTTATTTTCAAGAAGTGTGTGTGTGTGTGTGTGTGTATGTGTTTGTGCAGGAGGCTACTCTGTCAGACTTTAGTGGTAGTATATATTGTCAACATTTGTCATGTTCTATACTTACAGGGGATATAACACAGCATGGAATGTATAGTTTTGGCAAGAACATTATGACAACCTTGCAAAATCCAAAATGAGTAGATTATATTATTTCACATTTTAAATGTCTGTTTAAAATATGATTTTCTACATAGCTAATATAAATGTCCTTCTCCCTCTAAGTGCATTCATGCATGTGTGTAAATTAATGCACATGTCTATAACGCTAAATCCGTTCTTCCAGTCCTTACTGTGTCAAAGCTGGGAATGCAATGGAGAATAAGTCAATTCCTGATAAATTCTGATAGAGATAAACGACCATCAAATACACTAAAATAAGATTCTTTTAGAGAGCAGTAAGAGTTTATATAGCAAAAAGAATTGGTTGGCATTCAATCATTTCACAGTGGATCATACGATCAAGAAAAATTGACACTGAAGCAAGAAGTCCAAGCTGCACTGAAGGTGTAAGCAAAAAACAATGCTTGAGGAATTGACACACTACCAAGTGAAATGTTTCAACAACTGCTGCAGACACTGAGAGATTAAGTTTCACCAAGAGATTTGGAAGACAGCTACCTGGCAAAGCACCTGAAAGAGATTCATCCGTGAACCCATTCCAAAGAAAGGTGAATCAACAGAAAACAGAGATGATCAAACAATATTATGAATAACACATGAAAGTAAAATTTTGCTGAAGATAATTCATAAGCAGTTACAGCAGTAGGCAACAGGGTACTGCCAGAAGTTTAAACTGAATTTAGAAAAGGACATGGAAGGAATGAAGTCTTGCTATCATCAGATGTACCTTTGCTGAAGGACGAGAATATTACAAAGACTTTTACTTGTGTATTAGTGACTATGTGAAGATATTTGATCAAAGGAGCCCTGGCAGAATAGTGGATACACATTGAGATCCACAAGGTCAGCAGTTTGAAACCACCAGGGGAAAAATAGGACTTTCTACTCCTGTAAAGAATTACAGTCTTGGAAAATTACAGGGCCAGTTCTACCTGCCTTACAGGATCATTGTGAATAAACATTAACTCCATGGCAGCAAGTTTGGTTTGGCTTGGTTTGGGAAGGCATTTGAACATATCATAAGAATTATATGGATAATATTGCAAAGAATGGGAACTCCAGAACACTTCGTTGTGCTCATGTGGAGCCTGTGCACAGAACAAGAGGCAATTGCTCCATCAGATCAAGGGGATGCTGCATAGTTTAAAATCAGGGAAGGCACCAACTAAGTCCACATGAAAGAAGCACAGTACTAACCTGTACGATCCAATGATTGTGTATAATATAAACCAAATCTGAAGAAGGGTATGACATCAGAGCTTAAATTATGAAAACTTGGTTTTCAGACGGTTATGGACACCATGGAGGTCTGTAATCCATTTGCAGGATCCCTGCGTGGATTAAGCCTCCGGTGAATCTCCCCTGACCACAAACTAGGGATGTGAATCATCTTGTTATCATGCAGAGCATTGTAAAATCACATGGAAGACATCATTAGGTTAAAATGTAAAATCTTGCTACAAATGATAACTTTGAGTTGCCTTTTTGACTCATTTTAGATTTGTTCTAGTTTTTAATATTTTCTATTTTCTTTTTGATTGATTTGTTCTCTTTTACTCTCTTATTGTTGTTACTTTTGTTGTTGATGTTATATTTTTCATATGAAATTCAGGATCAGTAAATCTAAAGAGACATTTATGGGAAACAGAAGGATTTCTCTCGAGTTGTCTCCCCCAAATATATGCCAGACTTAGCTGCTTGAGAATGACTGTACACTTGGAGGTCATTAGAAGTGGATTGGGGGTCATTCTCCCTGAGAGTTATCAGCTGTCTAGACCAAGCAGACCCAACTGTTTATCCCACAACAAGTAGGGCCCACTCCCTTCTGATAAGGATAGTAGTTGTCTGTTTCCTTGTAGGAGACACCAGAGAGGTCAAACCCACCCAAGGATGACCAAGATTAGGCTGCCATCATGAATATAGGGTCCGCCCATCTTGTCACATGTATAACCCTAGACGTCCCATTCCTACAGGCACACCCCTAGCTCATCCCTCCCTGTTACACTTATGCCTTTCATTGATCCCCTTCCTACAATGTGTATGCCTATTGTACTGCCCCTTCCTGTGACATGTGATTCTATAATCATGTCCCCCTAAAGTGATATAATGATTGGTTAGCAATAAAGAAGAGGCTCTCTCCAGCTCCCGGGGTCCGGGAGTTCTCTCCAGCTCTCAGAAGCCTAGAAGCGCCCCGTCCCAGGCCCCCGAGGCTGTTCCTGCTCTCGTGGTGGGTTACCCCCACAGGGACCATCAAGCGGGGCTGAGGTGAGATATGCTACCATGAATTGTGTCTGACTCCATTACTTGACTCTATCTTTTACCTCTCATGCTCTCTATGACTTTACTATAATCTTTACCTATTATCGCTGTACAATTGCGCCTACCAACCTGTGATGATTTGTGGGGGACCCCCTCTCCCTTTCTCCCCACAGACATTCCCTGGATTAATGGTTTCTTGAGGGTATAACAGGCCAGGTTGGGAGAAATAGGGAACAAATGACAATGAGTACAAGAAAGAAGAAAATGTTCTAAACTTGATTGTGGTGACGATTGTACACTCTTCTTGATATGATCAAACGATTGAATTGTATGATTGTGGATGGTGTGCCAATAAAACTGTTTAAAAGAAAAACAAAAAAGTTAACTTTAAAAATATGTGACAAATGCAGTCCTGTTCCGTTACCATTACCTGGTGTCAGGAAAAAGAGGCAATACAAGCACCAAGCTTTACTATGGCTTTTCCACATCTCTAGATGTACTACTAGATCTTACCAGTCCAGACACGGGGGCGAACTCTCTCAGGTAAGCATTATGACTAAACTGTAAACCATTGTGGATGACACTCATTAAGGAAGTATATTAAGAGACAGAACTGTAGACAGAAATGAATGAGGAAGTAAATACCCTAGAAGGAGGAAATGGATGCTTCTAGCACCATATAAACTTCAGCATCTCGAGTGTTCTTAGTGAGGTTTTCTTAAGACATTCTAAATGTAAAGTTCACAGTGTTTTGTCATCTCTCTCTCAGCGAAAGGAGCCCTGGTGGCACAGTGGTTAGTGCTCAACTACTTATTAAAAGATGTGGCCGTCGGCTCCTGCAAAGATCACAGTCTTGGAAATCTGATGAGGTGATTCTTGTTCTTTTTCCCCCCATCATTTTATTGGGGGCTCATTCAACTCTTATCACAATCCATACATACATACATTGTGGAAAGCACATTTGTACATTCGTTACCCTCATCATTCTCAAAACATTTGCTCTCCACTTAAGCCCCTGGCATCCGCTCCTCATTTTTCCCCTTTCTCCCTGCTCCCCTCTCCCTCATGAACCCTTGATAATTTATAAATTATTGTTTTGTCATATTTTGCCCTCTCGTATGTCTCCCTTTACGTACTTTTCTGTTCTCCGTCCCCCAGGGAGGAGGTTACATGTAGATCCCTGTAATCCATTCCCCCTTTCTACCCCACCCTCCCTGGACCCTCCCAGTATTGCCATTCTCACCACTGGTCCTGAAGGGATCATCAGTCCTGGATTCCCTGTGTTTCCAGTTCCTATCTGTACCAGTGTATATCCTCTGGTCTAGCCAGATTTGTAAGGTAGAATTC